TGAGTGTGTGTGTGCGTGTGCGTGTGTGTATGTGTGTGTGTGTTTGTGTGTGTGTGTGTGTGTTTGTGTGTGTGTGAGAGAGAGAGAGTGAGAAAGTGAAAGGGAGGGACATCTATCGTCTTCATTTCTCCTCATGAGTGATCAGCTGGCACTCTGCTATGGTTTGTTCCTTATTTTTCATCAAACATCTATTGTCCATACCTCTCCTCCTTTTTTTCTCTAGTAATACCTCTAATCTTTGGCACATTTTTGACATTTGCGTCGAAAGTGCCGTGAAGTCTGCGAAAGCGACAACTGAACGTGAAATGGCGCAACGCCTGCCATACCACTCCGTGTGATACATTTGTCTGGAAGTGGCATGACCGAGATTACGAAATGTCCTTGTGTAAGGGACCGGCGGATCATTTGGTCAACTGACCTGGCGAGCGACGTCTGTATGTTTGCACTTTTGGCACTCCCCTCCCCACCCCACCCCCTTTCCGCCTTTTCCTCCTTAACCTCTCCCCTCTCCCTCCCCTCTCCTCTCCCCTCTCCTCTTCCCTCCCCTCTTCCCTCCCCTCTCCCTCTCTTTCACACCTGAACCCCCTCCTCTCTCTCCCCCCCTTCTCTCTACCTCAAAGGTTTCTGCACTCTTCACAGTCTCTTACAAGACTTCTGTTGTCTTAGAACACTGGCGTGGGTGGTTGGAGGGTGACATTAGCTGGTCCTATTTGTTTTTCGTTCTAATGTTTCTGTCTATTTAGTTGTTTTTCTAGATTCTTTTTGGGGGTGCTGTTACAGGGCTGTTATCGTGTTGATAATACTGCTGTATTATGTTTCCTTGTTTTTGCATATGCAAACAAATGCAACGTTGGTTACTTTAATTTCTTTTGGAGTGGTAGGTAGGTGTTATCTAGTGCGGCATGCTTTATTTCCATCTGGCCTCGCAGTTGGCGGGTGCTCTGGTGCTGTTTGCTCCTTCTTTATTCCAATCAGACTTCTGTCGTCCTTACATCTCGTCGTTCTTTTTTGTTTATGTTACAGTCTAGTGACATCTCTTATCTTTGACTCTTATATGACCTAATTGTGTTGCAAATGCTGCAAAACTTTTACTAAAACTGTGTCTCTGTTTATTACTCTGCCTATTCCCCCCATTCGTGAGTCTTTCTGTATATCTGAAATTGGTTATTCTCTCATATGTTTTAGTTTTAGTAAGTTTAACACCACTCGCAATACAATTAGGTCATTGTAAGTTCAGAAAATTAGAAGTGTTACAAGAGAGTAACAAACACAAAAATGATGCGGTGTGTGGTTGGCGGGTGCTCTGGTGTGGTTTGCTCCTTTTTTCCAATCAAACATCTATCGTCCTTATAATCTCCCCTTCTTCTTTTTTATGTTTGTTACTCTCTTGTAACACCTCTAATATTCTGGCGCTCATATTACCTTATGCAGTTGTGAGCGCTGTAAAACCTCTACCAAAACTATTTTAAAAAAAATGATGCAGAGGTCAGTACGGTAGGTGTTTGATGGAGAAGAAGCAGCAAACCATAGCAGAGCACCCGCCAACCACCCACTCACAGAGGTCCACCAGGTTTATCCGTGTGATGTCCCAATAGTCCGTCTATTGACTGGTGTGTATACCCACCCTTTTCCTTCCGACCCCCCCCTCCCTACCCCTCGCTCCCGGCCAGTGTATTGACTTTGGTGTGCCCCTTCTCGCTTCCTTCCGTCACCCCACTCCCCTCCCACCCCTCTTTCTCCTCCCAGCAAGTATTTTGACCTGTGTGTACACCTTCTCCCCCCCCCCCGCGTCCTTTTGCCCCGGGGACGAGGGGCGGGGAGGGGGACGGGGAGGAGAGTTCGTGGCGGCATTCCAGGGATGATCTGGCAGGAGGGGGTGACACTTTGTGTCAACTGGGCCGGTACTAGTGGATTATCATTGGTTGGGCGGGGAGAGAGAGAGACAGAGAGAGGGGGTAGGAGAGAGAGAG